TTCAATAATATTTGAGATTTGTTTTGAAGAGTAATGGTTTTGGATCAATAACATTTTGTAAGTTCCAATTACATGATTGAGTTATATCAGACCATTTTAATCTTTTTGGTGTGTGAACTTTGGTATGATTAGTATTTGCTTCAAAAATAATTGTTTTATTTCTAGGACTTGATAAACGTGTTTTTGGTTCAAGTGTAGTTGTCATAGTTTTGTAACAAACACGATAAATTATTGTTAAACGCTTTGTATCATCTTTAAATTCTAAATTTTATGTTTCTATAGTTAAAACCAAAGTATCTAAAATATTTTTATCAAATAATCCTACAGAGAAATTTGGATAACAATTGAAATAAATAGGTCCGTTAGCAATATTTGTTTCAGCCATAGCTAAAATAGAATTTTGAAAATCTTTACGTCTCTTGTCTCTTAAAATAAGGAGAACCGGGACATCTATTCCAATTCTAAATAGAGGCTTGATAGCAATTTGGACTAATCCGACATGTAAAAATTTATATTTTATTCTATGCTCTAGAATAGATCGTGATGATACCAAATGTAAATTTTGTTGGTTTTGACCAATAGACAAAGTTTGTTCTGTCATTTTAATAGAATAACCTTGAAAATAATCAAAAGTTCCTATTTTATATATTGTATTAATATTAGTTTTAGGTATTGTCCAATTATTCAAACTTTGTTCTATGTTATTAACGGTTTCTTCAATAGAATTTATTTTATTATCATCATTATCTTGTTCATTGTTGATATTTTTACCAGGAATATATTTTTTGGATAGTATGCCTAAAAATTTACTCATATTTAATTAATTTTGTTTTAAAATTCTATAAGAAAACTTACTTGTTTTAATAATGGTGAGCAGAGGGGAATCGTCCCGACGATGATTGTGGTCCGGCACCGCGACTTACGTCCTTATCTGCGCGCTTTACGCTAATCCAACCAATCACTGGTCTTGTCTCTGAATCATGCTTATTAAAACTTATAAATTTCTTATAGGATGCTAAACCAAAATTAAATAAATTTGAAATAAATATATCATGCATAACCACCCCAAAAACTTTTCTTGGCTCTGATACCATTTTCTTTATACGTAATTTTTAATTTGAATTTTTGAGATTATATATATATATATATATATATATATATATATATATATATATATATATATATATATATATATATATATATATATATATATATATATATTTCACTTTTGATTGAATTGATTAGTGTGAAGACTTACAGTTAAAAAAATGGATCTAAACTTTATGAAGAAGATTGATATTTGGAGGGGTTCATTTTTTTTTTCAAACTGTGTTAATTTTGGAGGTTTCTTTTCATGTCCAAAAATCTAGAACGTAACATCCCATGGATCGTTAATGAAACACGATTTGAACCCCTAGGTTTATTCCTATCGATTTTATTTCTGATTTGTCATATACTTTTTCTCTAATTTTCCAGGTTTAGATTTCCATTTTTTTGTTTTTTTATCATTTTTGTTTTTTGATCCTTCAAATGAAGAAGAACAATCAAGATCTGTAAATATGTTGTTTAATTTTCTAATTTTTAAATCTTCATCATGTTTGTAGATGCTTTGGATTTTGGGTTATGGTTCATTTTGAAAAGAAGACCAAGCATTAAACTTGTAAGCATGTTCTTTTCAATCCAATTTATGATTATCATCAATTTTAACCTTCAATATCTCAGCTTTTAATTCCTTTTATGCCTTACCATCAATTTTTATTTTTTTATTTTCGATTTGAAGAAGAAAAATCTGATTTGTAGTGTTTTGTTGATTCCCCAGGTTTAAAATTTGCAAATATTCATCGAAGGATTCTGAGATGAAAAATTCTGGGAAGCAATAAGGGTACTTGAACTCGAATGTTCTCTCTCATTTTTTGTGCATGGGGGACAACCGGATAAAGTTACATAGTGGACATTTGGCATCGTTATCCTTTTGTAAGTTTGCATAGTCATTTTTCATGCATCTTACATATTTTTAAATAATTTAAACGCCGTTAACTAATGTAGTGCTCTTTAACTTGCATTTGACATATGTATCAACTATTTCACTAGCTTTTTAGATAAATCTCACTGCTAATTGGGAAATTGTGCAGGAAGTATGGTTTATTTTCCATAGGTATTTCTATCTGTTGATTTTTTTTATGCCACTAACAAGTCTTTAAGGATCTTTGGTTTTAGGGTTGTGAAGTTTGATGTGTGTGTGGTGTCTGTATATACTGTATACTATACTGTATACTAGGTGTAAAACCCGTGTATTAGATGGGTTGATTACAAAAATTAAATATTAAAATGTAAACAAAAATTAAGTATTTTTTTAAATAAAATTTTAAAATAAGGAAAGAAAAACGTATTAATTACAATTATTATCATATTTAATACATTTAATACTTTGCATATATAAGTATTATGTGACTTTTTAATTTTAAAAATTAGAAAAACCTAGAAATTGACATGCGGATATTATTTAATTTCAAAAATAATGACAAGTATCAAAACTCATAAAAGATTGATATATGGCAAAATGGATCTTCATTTATTATAGTTGATAGGTGTGGTTGTGCGTCTTATGTATGTATTTGTCAATGCAAAGTGGTACGTTCCATAGCATGAATATTAACAAGCTGGTATGTAAAGAATAACGTATGAATTATTTTTTTGTTGTATAATTGCATCTCTAATCCACATTTATGTCAAATATGGTATAATTAATTTTGACACATTGTGATTATAGTACTAAGTATGACATTAGTTATATATATATATATATATATATATATATATATATATATATATATATATATATATTATAATTGTTTCAAAGTCAAATGATGCGATCTTCACCATGTTTTCTTTGTCAAACAATTGTATATTTAATCTTTTGTTTATTATCACAAACAAACATGAAGTTTTTTTATCCGTATTTTTATTTCAAAATTTGGATTTTTGAATTGTCTACATCCAAAAATATCTTTCTCAGTTGTGCCTATTGTAGTTACCTAGAGGTGGGATGGTCAAACTTAGGTATTGTTAGTTTTTTGTCTGCAGATCTATGTGACCTTTTCTGTCTGCGCCTTGCAGACATTAGCTTTCGCAGACTGTTTTTTTTTTTTGAAGATCACAGACCTAAAAATGTTTGCACGCCCTCTTCTTGGCGCAGATGTGGACCAGAATCTTCAGACATCTTCTAGCATATATATATATATATATATATATATATATATATATATATATATATATATATATATATATATATATATATATATATATATATATATATATATATATATAAAAGTTTTTTTTTTTAATTTATCATTTTTCTAACTTTATTAATGATAAACAACTTGAAAAAAAATTACAAAACTTTAAAAAAAAATTCAACGATACAAACATGATATTTTTAACAAATTTATAAACAAAGATTTATTACAATAATAATAATAGTTGTTGAAGTTGTTTATATAAATATGAAAAAAAAATCATAATATATTGTAATATTTTTTTGCCAAATTTTATAAAACATTATTTAATATAATATCGTCGATTTCTCGAGAAAATATTTATTGTATGTTTTTAATGGATTTAATTGAAAAAATCGAAGTTTATTTCCATCCATTTATGTATCAAATTTTTTTATCACTAATTACAATGTTTAGTTATAACTTTGCAACCAAAGTTGTTGGTTTTTATCAAATATATACGTTAATTCATATCATTTTTATTTTTATTTTTTATACAGTAATACATAAAAGTTGATCTAGATTCGTTAATTATTTATAACAAAGTCATAAAAATATTAAAAACTCACTTTGAAGTTTAAAAAAATCAGTTTATTTAGATTTCAGTTTATTTTAGTAGCCCGCAGATGTTAAAAAAAACAAACAGTCTTCTTTTTTCAGACTGCAGATATTTTACCTCAGAAAAAACAAACAGTACCTTAGTAACTTTTTTTATTCATTAAGGGTCCAAAAAAGGTTAGTTGAATAATATTAATAAAAAGTAAGAATTTGTTAAATGGATGAATTTTAGCATAAATGAATTATCATAATAGATTTGTTTATCCAAAAATTTATGGTTGTTAATATAAATAAGATTTCAAAATTTTATAATGAAATATATTACAAACTAATAAATTTCATTTAATATAAAACATTTAAAATGATATTAATTAATGGATATAATATTATACTTATTATATCTATATTTGTAACAAATATAATAATATCTACAATTTTAACGACTCATTTCACATTGTATTAATTTTAACTCAAAAGTAAACTTTTTTCAATACAAATTAATGGTGACTAACAAGTTGTATTATATTTATATATTTTTAAATTATAATATATAGTCCAATTGTATTTATTTCTGTTAGGTTACTATTTGTTAAAGTAATACCAAGTTGTTTTATTATTATTATTATTATTATTATTAAAATTGTTCACCCTTAGCTACAGTAAAATGGCTAAGGGATGGTAAAAATGGTCCTTTAAATAATTCTTTTTTACAGTTTGGGATATGTGCTAGGAGATGACAAAACTGGTCCTTAGTTTATAGTTGTGGGTTCAATTCTGTCTCTGCATTAGGTCATTTTGTTTCATTGTTTATATTGTTGGTGGGTTTTTTTTGCTTCATCACCGTTTGCTTGAGTAAGCGTACATCTACGTGTCACTTTCAGATTCTCCACCGTTTTCTTCTCCAATAACAGATTTACACAGGTCCACCGATCACCTCCATACATTTCTCAATCAACTTCTCCCTTTTTGCTTCCTTTTACTTCCGCATGCGTTGAATTTCGGTGTACCCACCGGGGTTACTTTAAATCGGTCCATTGATCCATTCACTGCATCGATTTGTTACCGCTTCCACTGCTTCAGATCACCGACGATTTCCCTTTCCTTCTACCACCCCCCCTCTTTCTATCCACTCCTGAGGTTTATTCGGTCTTCAATCCAAAAACTCTCATGCTTTGGGAACCGGTCGGCATGGCTGATCCACCAATGCTTTACCTTCGTTCGTTTGAAGGTATTCTAAATGGAGCCGTCGCCTCTCCCACCGTTTCCCCGACTAGGTAAGCCAATTACAATACGATTGGTGTGATCGCCTCTTCAAGAATCACTGCTTCATCTCGATCATCCCTCTCCTCTACCTTCTTCTATTCAATTTCAATCTTACAATATTCTATTTTGATTGAAACAAACAGGCGTTCGTCGCTTCGATATACCCCCGAATTTGGCTTCGATTTTGAAGGTGTATCTCCAAGTTTTTGAAGGTAGCCCTAATTATTCCTCCAGTTAGGCCATCATTCCTCCCTACTCTTCTTTGCTTTGTTCTTATTTTCTTCCACCAACTCTGGTTTTACCTCTCCAAAAAACGACACGAAAATCGCTTTCATCGGTGTAATTTTCCCACAACGTTAATCCCGATTTCCGTCTTACCCTATCTCTCTTGCTATCAGTTTTTTGATGGCCTATTATGGGCTTTGTACCCATCGTCGTTGAAGATCATCACTTCCAATGCAACACCATCAAAACCAACTGCTCAGTCGGTGGTTATTATGATTTTTGGAAGATGTTCTCAAGACCCAGTCAGTGGTTATTATGATTTTTGGAAGATGTTCTCAAGACCCAATTCAAGCAGAAGATCTGTTCAAAGTTTTTTTTTTTTTTTTTTTTGTTAATTTCTCTGTTTTTTTCAATATCTAATGAAAATGAACATGCAATGCCCTAACCCATGTGCATTTATCTTCATTCTCAAATATGATATGGCAAAGAACATTCAACAATTTTATTGTTTTTCTAGGGTTTACACCAACCGGGGAAGAGGCAGAAGAAATAGGAGAGTGCTAAGATTTCCCACCAGGTGTTGTTAATTATAGAAATGGTGATTCTGAATTTTTCATCGTTTCTTTCTTATGGTGTTTTGGACGTTGATTTTTGAACTTCATACAATTTTCTTTATTTTCAATATGTAGATTAGAAGAAGACACAGAGGCCCAAAAGTTTATGAAAAAAAAAAGACTTCAAACATTGATAACTTCTTTTTGTAAGAATAGATCGATGTATGTTGCTGTTATCACCTATAATTTTAGGTAGTTTCTTAAATTTAGTTTTCCACCACCTCAATTCAATTTCAAAATCTGCATGTAAATGGTTTCACTCTTTTTCTGTCCATTTGATGCAATCAAAATAGTGTCATCAGTTGAAAAACATATTCTATATAAAGGAATAATAACAAAAATGATGTTTTCTTATCTAATTTGCCACATATGCCCTTGGAATGCCTTCTTGAGCATATCTTGGATAGTGATTTGAACCATACATTAGGTAAGATTTTATTGATTATGTCAAATGGAAAAGGGTGTTTTGGGGTTTTCACTCAGAAACACCGGTATATCTTCTTCTTTTTTTTTTCATTTCATTAGATCACACCTTGGTATCTGTTAGGTCAAAGCAGAAACTACTTTTTGAATGCTCAATTATGATGCTCCAAGTTTCATATCTCTCATGCTCTATCCCCATTAAGTTCATTATCCAATATTTATGAGACACGATCGTATTATTTGGGTTATAAACTCATAATATCAGTTATTTTGTTTTGTTCTCTTTTAATTTAAAAAAAAAAATAATTGACTTTATATTTATTTGCAGGTATGTGTGCCTATAAAAGAATGAAGACTTAAGACTTTATAGAACAAAAAGTTTCACATTTTGACAGGTTTGCCCTTGTAGAATTTTAGATGGTTATTTAAATAACTATTTTTTGCATTATTAAAGGTTATGCTGAGATGGGGACAAGGTTGTTCACATTTTGCATTTTTTATGTGTGAAAAAGTATGAACTGTCATTTTCTCTCAATATTGATTCTTTATTCTGTATTGGAATCAAAACCTTAGGCAATAGGCTATTAGAGGCCTGATATAATTTGTCAACTCTACTTGGTATTTTAATTTATATTAATCACTACCACGTCGTGTTACAGGAAATCTAATTCCTTCTGAAAAGTCAAAACCTAAAACAAGTAAAACTAAAGCATTGATACTTGCTGATGCTTCTCTTATTGATGCAATAAAAACCAATCAAATTTTTTTATTTGTTTCTATTTTGTTTTTCTTATTGTGGTGTTAAAATTTTTTAAGTTCCTATCTATTGGTCTAACTATGGAAAAATTAGTAACTAATACTTTGTTTTTCAGCCATTTTACAGGGCTACGATTGCAGAGATGCTTCTGTTTTATTTGGGCTTCACTAAAGCTGAATTATATTATTTTTTGGTTGATATGTCATGAAGCTGTTTCTGACGAATGATTGATTTAAGATTCCCTTTTAGATGGGTCTTTGGATGTAATCTTTGGAACGATGATGTTATTTGTGACTTGATTACTTTATTTTCATTCACTATTACATAATCACTTTCTGAAACCAACTCAAAGATCCCCTACACCATCTTGAAGCTATTAAATGATTTACATTAGGTACAACGACCCATATGATAACACAAACACAATCAACAAAATTTGTGTGGATAAAAAAAAACCGTAGATAGTCACAGTAATTAAGAAGCTATGAAATACCTTCCGACCCCCGCAACGCGAGGGGTTCTTCTTTGGTTATTATTAAAGTTCTGAAAAATAGTAACAGTAAATTGTATTATGAGTTGGCAGAATTGGTCCCTGTTTATTATGTGATAGAAGTGGTCCGCTTCTTTTATTGAATTATAGTTTGGTTCCTTAATAATGTAATATATATATATATATATATATATATATATATATATATATATATATATATATATATAAGTTTAGTAGATTATCGAAACACCGCTCCTTTTTACTTCCAGATCCTTCCACCGCTTCAACCTTCTACATACCTTCCACAGTTCATCCATCACTTTCACCGTTTCAACCTTCTACATACCTCATCCTTTTCCTTTCCACCTCGTTCTGTATTTTGATTAGGGCTCCACTCGATCTGCTTGACCTCTACCATCAGCATACAGCTTTGTCGTCTCCGGAAAAATTAATCAATGACGAGATGAAATATCTAGATAAAGAAGATAGAGAAGAAACACGAAGGAAATTGGTGGCGATGGCGTTTGTCATAGTCGGAGAAAAACAGTGATGGAGGGGAGCTGGTGACGTTGGCGCCAAAGTTGCGTGAACAGGTACCTGCGTTCCACCCATATTCACCTTCGATCAGAAACATACGGTCGTCTTCCATCGTATTCTCCTTCAAACCATTTTTCCCACATATCAGGGTTCGGTTTTGGTTTTAACAAACATCTCACGTACCGCTACCCCATTTTTCCTCTTTCAATTTCGATTCATTTTTTGTGTTTCATATACTTCTGCCTCCTCAATCTCCCAATCAGGTGTTTACACATTTCATTACACCCACCAAACCTCACCGCCGATGCCCTCTAAACAACCTGCTCTGTCGCCTTCTTGCATAACCCAGTTCGAAACAGAGGAGATATTGAAGATGGGTTCCAATGAACCACCGACAACTGTTGTACTTCACCCGTATGTTCTTCTCGGGAAGCACATCAATATCGTGGATCAACAAATCCACTCACATCTACCTCGTCCATTAAGCGAAGGTAACACATACAGTTCAAATCATACAATTATGTTGTTAAATAACTTCAATTTCTGTCAAATTAGGGTTTAAAATCGAAGGTAACACATACAGTTCAAATTACTCTTTGTCCCTCACACTAATGTTAAACTTCTAATTTTGTTTATTGGTTAATTTTACATGTCTCATAGGTTGGTCCAGCCACAGACGCCATGATCCGAGGTCTCCTATCATTCTAAACGATTACATTGCTGACTAGATAATTTTCTTATTAAAGTTGATTTTAGAATGCAAGGGTAAAAATGTCATTTTTGTCTCAACACCTTAGAAATCTGATATAGTGCAGGAAGTTGTAAATGTACCCTATGTAGTGGAAAATGGATATGGGAAATTTTCAAAGTCACCAAAAGAGATTGCAGAAAATGTTGGTGGATGGTTTGGTCCTAAAGCACATGAACTCAAGACTATGATAGGGCTTGATTTGAATTTAAACTATCACAGATCAGTCACAAACATCGAGTATTAAAACACAACATAAATTCAATCTGGGCACATATCTGTTTCTTTCTGAGAATTTTTTTTAAGAAGACTCATAAAGGATAGAAGACCAAGAGGATAACATGAGCAATGGTACACAAAAATTAGCCGGAAAAAAAATTATAGATCAAAGCAGATGAAAAGTCAACATACCCACAGTGTGTAAATGAGGCTAATTTTCGGTGTCGTTTTCGTGTTATGCTCTGATTTTTTATATGTTTTCAAATGATTCCTTATTTAATCCTTATACTTAAATTCTGAATATGTGTTTTTGTTTGGATGTGTAGCTTCAAGAATCCAACATATGTGTTTTAAAAAGAGAATAGATCTCAGTTTACTTCTACTTTATTTCATTTTTAGGCATCATACTTTCATAGCCAACCAACTATAGCATCCTACTTCCATCACGAACGACTAATAAACGATGACACCATCTTTTACATACTGTCTTCAGTCGGTTTTCTTTGATATTAGCGGCGAATCCGACCCTCACAAAGCGGGGGTTCCTATCTAGTTATTATTACACTTCTTTTCCTCATCCACTAAAATTAACACCAACACGTAACTAATAAATATTAATTTTTATTATAAATCATATTTAACTATTTATTGTATATTCATTTGAGATATGATATTTTTACGAAGGGATAAATAATTCACAACTGAAAGAAAATTATTCACGGTCCGCAAAAGAAATTATAAATAACTGACAATTTACTTGCCGAAACGAAACTGAGAATATACTTATATATAACATTTAACATTGATATTATGATCACAAACTAATGAAAAGACATAAGAGTTTAAGACTTTCATTTGATTTGATGACATTTGTATTAAAAACAAGGAATCATTGCCAAAAGCAAAGTGTTTACTTGAATAAATATATTTGACGTCTACGAAAAGAAAGCTAATCATCTCTTTAAACTAATCAACGATAGTGAAAAAAACTCGCCATCTAGGAACTATTACTCGAAAGGAACTCTTCGGCGCCGCCACATTGCACGGGTATCATACTAGTGTGTGTGTGTATAGTTGTGTATCATGGATCATATATATGCCTTAATTTTAATGATACAAAAAAAAATCTTCCCAATTTTTCTCTTTGATATAGTACTATACTATCGATTTTATGATTTGTATTTTTTTTTCAATTTTTTAAGGTGTCCTCACCGAAAATCTCTCTCTCTCTCTCTCTCTCTCTCTCTCTCTCTATATATATATATATATATATATATATATATATATATATATATATATATGTATGTATATGTGTGTGTGTGTATATATATATATATATATATATATATATATATATATATATATATATATATATATATACATATACACACACAAACACATAATAATCATTTAAATGTTTGCTTTTATTTTTACCGAGTAAAACCACCCATCATCTTGATTTTTATCCCTTATTAAAATTAACAATTTTAATCTCTACTTTGAACTTTAGATAAAACAACATACAAGTGACTGTGTATTGCACACGTGGAATAAAAAAATATTAAATAGTTAGAAATTAAAATTTAAGAATTACAAAACTATATTTTCAGGTAAGATTTGATTGAAATTACGAAAAAGTTAGTACTTTAAGTAATGAATGACGATGTGTTTCGGAAGGAGATGACGATAGACACCCCGTTTAAGATCGAGTTGTTTAACAATACTCAAGCATGTCTTTAGATGAAGTTGTAACGATCACAAGCTTCCCTTCAAATCTTCACCCAATCTACGATTTCTCCATTGTTGTTGATGCTTATTTGTTTTCTTGGTACTTTGGTACTTTCTTGGTACTTCAGTACTGATCTAAAAGTTACAATTTACCTTCTTTCTATTCTCTTTTCCGTAGGCCGACACAATGTTATTTCTAGACTTTGACAAAGTTACATGATCATGTAACTTCAAAAAGATGATCATATGATCATGTAATTCATACAACGTCACAAAATCAGTTTTTTCAGCTTCTTAAACTAGCAGCAAAGTTACACATTCGTGTAAAACATGATGTGATCGTGTAACATGTTCGAGCTTGCCAAATGTCCTCCAAAGTAGTGAAAAAATGTTATGAAGTAAGAACACGAATAATATGCCAAAATAAAGTATTAGCTCGACCAAAAATATTTGTGTAGAATCTAACCATATATTTCAGTAATTAACTGCCAAATTACCATTCTTGAACTTTGAAACATTTCCGGGACTATTTTGTAATATTTTAAACTAAAGGGGCTATTTTTGTAATGATTTAAATCAAAAGGCTTGATTTAAATCTTGTATAATGATTGGAAGAGTTGTTTTGGTCAATAACTACCAAATGGAGGGTTGTTTTGATCATGTTAATAACAATGAGGGGCTGATTTGTAAGAACTTAAACCAATGGGGGCTGATTTATTAATTGATGTTGATCAATTAATAAAAGTGAGGGGTTGTTTTTGGGGAAAATCAATACCAACAAAGGGGGTAGGTCTTCGTGCTCAACACATCGGGAAAGATAAAAAAAACATGATAGGAAGGCAATAACGGGAAACCCCAATAGTGGATTCGACAGGAAAAGGAAGAAGGTTGGTCTCAAGATGGCTAGGCAGTGGTGGTGGAGCTTGCTCTGATGATGGCAAATTCGTCAGGGGAGGAGAAGCCATCGAGACCAGTGATCCTCTTGGTCTCACTGATCTCGTCACCGGCAGAAAACGCAAAGGGATTGGCAAGGCAGATCGCGGCTAGAACGGTGTCAGAAGTAGCATTCAGTGGTTGTCGACTTGCATTTTTTTCTCAGCAGGAAGCTCCCAGTAGAGCTGTTTTTGGTGTCTGAACAAAAAAGTCGGGTACCTAGAAATGACGACCTCAAGGGGCTTCTTGGGGCTTGCCCATCGATAAGGAGAGGGGGTGGTGAATAAAAGCGACAACATCCTCCCTTTGGCTTTGTTTTTCCGACGAGGCCAAAGAGATGAGAGAAAGACGAGAGGATAGAAGAAGGGAGAGAAACCAATAAAATAAAAATAAATGTGTACACGTAGCTTTCATTTGAAACCATTTCCCACCTTATAGAAGTCGATGTTGACTTTATGGTGATATAATATATTTTGTGATATACATCCCGTTTCTCGATTCTCGTGTTATAAAATCCTGATACGTAAGGTTTTTTTTTTTTTTTTTTCTGAAAGTCTTTGCTTATTGTCATGGTCATGGTGATTCCATAAATGCACACGAATTCAATTTTGATATATAAAACTCCAGGAAATGGAGTTTAAAGTATTGCGATTAATTGGATCTGATTCGATAAATTTTACGAATCTGATTTTGTTTGAGATTAAAAATGTGATAAAAATGAAATTAAATAATAAACCATAGTCATAGTTCAAAATTGTACTCAAAAACTAATTACAAGGTTCATAGCTATTTCAAACGATGTAGTGCATAGTTTGTTTACGGAAAATCAGATAAATACTAATTTTTAGAACTTAAAAGAGGCGTAACTACCAAAGGCCTTCTAGCTCAGCAGTATTAAGTGTTGTTATCCCTCTTTGAGGTCGAGGGTTCAGGTATGGTTGTAGATATAGGTGGAATTAGGTGTTAACTTAGGAGTAGATTAGATTTTCCGGTTAAAAAAAGCGTAAGTTATTTATACTCTCTATTTCGGACATTCTTTATATCCACGGAATCAATAGAACATAATCTTTTCAAATTGATCATAAATTAGTCTTAGGTATACTCAATGCAGAAATTTATTTTTAACGTCACAAATAGAATTAAATTTTGGTGATTTTCGATTTGATCCTCAACGATACACGGTTTGTTGAGTAGTTTGAGACGTTTTGAAAGTAATTATGAATAGAATATCTTTAATATACAATATAAACATAAAATTACACACAATTGATCTTTAATACATAGTGGTTCACGGTGGTTTGACCATCAAACTCTGATCAATTTTTATCAATTGTTACACAAGCTAAACCGACAACCATTATTGTACCAGTGTTGGCTGGCACCTT